GCTACTTGAGTGTGTTTGGTTTGAGCATGCAGAAGGCGTCTGTTTGGACACCCCCACAGCCATAGGTCTATACAGAGTCAAAGTCAGAATGTTCTTTATAGGATGTGGCCACTTGAGTGAGACATCTGGACTTAAGTGTGTGAAACATGGCATTACACACAGAGATTATACACAGAGGAAATCACAAGCTAATTACTGTATATACACATAAAAGCAGGATGGAAGTAATGTAGCAGACTTGCACACTCACTCTTTTATTGCTATTTCTCCAGGCACAGCACTTCAGCATGACGACTTTGAGTGCCAGAGTCAATCAGAGAGTGATAAAGCTTTTAGTGGAAAAAGTCCAGAGTAATTAAAACCTGCTCTGTTATTATATCTGTAAATGCTTGATCATTTTTCCATCTAATTTCTATCTGCTACATGTGTAACATACGGCTGATTACAGGTAGGGATGTGCGTTGTGACTACTTTTGACATCTGAGCATTCATAAGAGTTAACGCATGGATGCCTGGTTGACCAGAGGGAATAATAATAATAATAATAATAATAATAATAATATTCATTTAGCACTTTTCATGCCGGTGGCAGCTCAAAGTGCTTTACAGACAGGTGATAAAACATAGTTATAGAAAAGATCATTAGTACTTAATTAGAATCAGAAGAAAACGAGGAAGGAAAAAAGCAACAACAAAAAGGGCAAAAAACAGACTCTGGCCAAAATTAGAAAAAGGGCCATAGGTTTCCTTTAGATGCTAGCATTGGAGATCTGAAGACATGTTAGCTTAGTTACTGAAAAAAAAAAACACATACTTAACAACGCCTTAATGAATTAATAAGCACCATCCCATTGGCCTCTCTTCTAAGTGTTTCAAAGGTCTATTTGTGAAGGTAAATTATAAGTCCTCGCTTTACTAAACTACAGGGAAATGTGACAAAAATACTGTCAATATTGACTACATGGTACAGAAAGACCGTACGCTACAAATAGAAAAATGCTAAAGTATTCTTTCAACAATAGCACCTCCCTTCATTCTCCATAATGCTGTTCTATCCTGTCCAATAGGTACGCTCCATTCACTGAGGGCCATCGTAAAACAAAGTCATTAACTCTACCGATGGGAGTAGATGCATTTAATCAAACGGTCTGTTAATTGCTTGGTGAATCTGTCACTCCCCACAAGAATTATGTACTACACATAATTAGCAGCTCTGTTGTCATTATGCTTGCAGTGCACAGTGTTTGAATAGAAATACCTTTTAACTGAAAGGTTTCAAAATTTATAGAGGTAGAAATGAAGCCAAGTGGGCCAACACCACCTCAATCACTGACCAAAAAATACTAGAGGTGTAACAGTACAACATATCGTACTGCATTGTAATGTCACATTACATACTGTACTGTATCACTGTACCATGGCTAGTGCATTAGCTTGTGCGTAACATTAGTTTGTGAGTGGCACATTAGATTGGGTCATAACAAAAAACACTGATATTTAGTTAGAAACCATTCCGAACAGACCAGGAAAAAATTTAACTATGCCATTCTTGCAGTACGGCTCCACTGTACTGATCAACAGGGCAAAAGCAACTTTCCAACAAGGTTTGCAACAAGAGTGTGCCTACATGGTTCAGTTTGGATGAAAGCTCTTGAATTAAATCATATATTTTCTCATGCTTCTTGCCAGCAAACAGAATTAGGGGGGGAGAACTCAGCGCATATGGAACGCAGTGCGTGTAGAACATGACAGCGACCAAAACTCTCGTCTTTCTTGGACGCATGAAGTAGCATATTTAGAGAGCTTAATTCCTGTTTATAGCTAAGTGTGGATGAATGTGTGTAATAGCTGTAATAGTTGTAAAAGGTCTATCATACGTCACAGAAATGTTTGATTCAAGAGGCTGTTTTACAACTGGTTTAAGAGAATGTGGAATCAACAATTTTATAATTGACAGGTAATTCTGTGACTTATATGGACATACTCCACAAGTGGAGCAGCACTGATAAAGGGAGTGGAGGGAGATATTTACTAGCTGACACACCATAAGGTCACAAATATTGTACTTTCTGATGTTGAATGCTCTGATAAACTGAAAATGGAAACATTAACATATTAAGATAAGGTATATTTTCAGGCACATTCGCATTTATGCTGTATAGAACTGTCGGGACCAAGAGCTATTTTCTTTCTTGCCCAAAGCCCCGACATATGATGGTTCTTAAAATCTAAACTATTCTGTGCTGTGGTTTTGTTCTAATTATTGTCTTAATCACTTACAAAAAATAAACAAAAATAAAATAAACAAAAATAAAAAGGGTACTCAATCAAAAATAAAAGAAAGTAGAATAAAGGACTTCAGCAGCTGAGTTCTTGCGGAAGGGAGAAAAAGTCTTCTTCTTTATTTCAGCATCAGGTGGCACAGGGTCTCGAGAGACCCCACCTGTGCAAATACAGTGTTCCAAACAACAGTTTATATACCATTTATCTGGGGTAATGTGATATCCCCCTGCCTTACTTCTCAAATTTTGATATTAGCTCATTCTCTAATAGGTGCATCTCTTCGTCCATCAATTTGGCCATCGCATGATGAGCTCACTCCTCAAAACTGGCTTCAACAGGTTTTTACCAGCCTGCTCTACCTTTCAAGGTCAACTTGCCCCTCTCTTCACTGGGTCAGTAGGTACACACAGGCCTCCCTGTGAACCCAGCTGCTTTCCAGTGTCTAGAATCTCCTACGCAGACAGACGAAGACCTACCCTTTGTGAAAGAATATTCTCTGTTAGGCAATACTTCCTATTTGGTTACTGATTACAACATCTAATCTATTTGATTACTGATTAAGGGAATATTTATTCAAAATCTCTGTCAGAACCGAGACACCATCATAGTTCATCAACCGTATAATGCATTTTGTGAACTGTTGCAGCCCTACCCACCTCAGCAGCACCATTAGTTGACTCTGAATGCAAGTGCAAGTCTGTGTAAAGAACTGTCCCATAGTAGCATTATTCAGACATGCAGCTCTAGGAGAGATGCTCTAGAGAAGCCCTCAGACCTGTTCACCTTCCTTCCTGCTTTGTATTGTGCTCATTCGGTTAAACGCATAGAAGAAAGAAGGGCTGAGGGGGAGTGATGCTAGTTTTTGCTGGCTGCTGCTGCGAGAGCAGCTGACTTAAAGCTCAGAGCTCAACTGCATGGAGAGAATTTCTGCTTATTTGCTTTAACAGCAGAGACTGAACCGCGTACCTCTCCAAAGAAGAACGAGCGGCCGCTAATGTTTCAGCCACCAGCTCAAGGCTTTACAGGCCTCACTCTTCTCTCTCCTCTCTTCCTTTCCTTCACTCCATCCATCATGCTAAATGACTGTTTGACGGACTGAGAGGCATCTGTCATCACTCAGGGCCGCCAGAGATTCCGCTGCATGTATGTATATGTGTATAGTGTATGTGCGTGTGTGTGTGTGTGTGTGTGTGTAATGTTTTCTTCCATTATGGCTGTGAGGCCTCCAGAGAGAACACACACAGCCAACCCCACAGGAGACGCTGACCTTTGCATGTAATATGGGTGTGTAAGCATATGCACGTGTTTAATGTTTGCTCTCTAACGCAGCAGGATCTGTACTTACATGGTCAGTTTCACTGAATGCTCTGCAATGTATGATTGGATGCTAGTGATATACACAAATATTCAAATATATCCAAACTAATCTTAGTATTCATTTACTTAAATAGGTATTTGAATAAGGCATGAATGAAAAAATAAATAAATCATGTATTATTTTATTTTTAAATGTTTTGTCTGAATGGAACAGTAAAGTGGGTCGGGACTCAAGTAGCTGACATTACCTCTCACGTTAAGCAAAATGGCAACATCTAAACAGTTATATATGTAAGTGTGATGCCCCATTTCAATCCAAAGGATCAAAATCGCAGCTGATATGGACATAAAATAATGGATATATTTATTGAGACTAATCCAGTTCCAATCCTTTGTTTCATGTTTATGTTCTACTTACGCTATTGTCCTCGAGGTGTGCATTAATCACAAACTGCAGTGTGAAACTATTTTACAGTGGAATATGAAGATATAGTACAATGTTTAATAACTCCATTACCACAGTTTGACTGTATCTGAGGTAGCCAAGTTTCATCAAAACACTGGCACGTAAAATGTAATCAAGTGGCTATTAAACTTCAGGTCTACTTTCTGTCACCTACGCCAAGCGGCAAAATTGTTTACAAAATGCACTCTCACCATGTTTTTCACATGTGCATGACCTAATGAAAAAGAAATCATGAAAGTGTTATCAGCCATGGCATGTCTGGTTTTAAACCAGCTGCAAAACAAGCCAGAATGAGATGACATTATAATGTATGTACAAAGTATAAATGATGAAATTCATAGTTATTTTATATTCCAAAAGCCTATCAATTCAGACTGTATACCACTAAAAAATGAAGTGATTTGAATGCACAATATTAAAAGAACTTGTAGCCAATTTATCAATGAGGTCAAACAAATTTGATCATAAGCCAATATTAAACAGACTATGAATTGCTTTAAAAAAACATATTACAATGTCACATTATGGACACAGAATTAAGTAGTATTAATTAGTGGCAGCCTAGCAGCCGAGTACTTACAGCAAATGCTATAAGTACGAGAGTGAGAGAGGAGTATAGAGAGCCCGGCAGCTGAGTACTTACAGCAAATGCTACAAGTATGAGTGAGAGAGAAATAGACAGAGGCTAAAGACCCACATGAAACACTACTCTAACAAACAAAACACTACACTACACACATGTATGATTTGTGGAGATTTGTAAATTGTCCCAGATCCCTGTTTGCTGAGCCAAAGGCCTAAAACCCACACGCAGCAGCCACCTTCCAGCTGCTGGCATCTTCTGATGCTCTGAACTATATCAGGCAATGATTCCTACTGTAGCTGCCACTGCAGACAGCACACACATACAGCACACCCCAGTACTCATCCTTACATCCAGTGTCTCTTCATTAATCACCAGCAGACCCATGTTCTTGGTGAGCAGCTTGCAGGAGTGTCCTAAAAAACAAAACACAAGACAAATGTATCAGTCCTTCAGTATTCACCTTACTCACCTAATCTCCTGCACAAATAAGAACATTCAAATTATTAGAATAATAAAGCAGTACACCACAGTCTACAATGACTCATGCACAAACAAAAACTGGAACACAAACATTGAAACTGTGACACTGTTGGAAAGATAATATGCAAACAATTTGTAACTTAAAGTGACAATTTAATCAGTAATGAAATTCACACAATTTTCTCTTCACCCCAAACACAGTCAATCAGCCAGGATGCATCTGAAGCCCTAAATATGAAGTCTCGAGTTTGCGTCTTTTCTGGAGCTACAAGGCTAATGTAGCTAACAACTATTAAAAGTGTATAAGCATAAGAACAGCACTGGCAAAACTGGCCAAATCATCACATACTTGCCCCAAACCAGGCATGTGCATTCTGGCAAACTGTTTGAGTATCCATAGGAGACGGATGGATTGAATGAATGAATGGAATAGACAAGGGGAAAAAAAACATGCTTTTCACCTAATATCAACATAATACAAAAACACAGTACACTGGTTTACTGGTGCTACAGCAGCACCAACAAAAATTAGCAGCAAGCAGATAATAATGTCTTATTTGAAAATAGCCAAGGGAAATGTTTCGGTCCCTGTGCTTTAATAACGCAAGTGGCCTTAATGAGCTAAGCTAATGAGCTAAAATCTAGGCAGTACAGCAGTACATGGTAATGACTCCTCATCTTCTACATACAGTTTTTTAATCTGAAGTGATGTACCAAAAAAGAACAGAGAGATATTTTTCATTGTGTTTGGTTCCAGCTAACTGCAGCTACAATAGTTAGCCTAGTTACAGCCGGTCTGTCTCCACCTTTTTAACCATGCTTTTAATAACGCATTCTTGGTGACATGCTCATGTTAAGGCCCTCACGTTTTGTTGCAGTAAAGTACAATATAGTACACTTACTTCATCTTAAATATGAGCAAAACTGTCACACTTTAAAGTTTAGGTCTATATTTTCTCCCTGACTTTCTGTGACGGAGTATAAAGAACACTCAAACAGTGATTTTAGTATTTGGATACTGGTACCTGGAATTACAGAGAACTCAAGTTGTATCTAAGTAACCAAAGAGAAATAAAACAGAGTTTAGTTTCTAACACTGCATAACATACTTTTAGCAATAAAAAGAACAAAAGCATGTTTCATAGAAACACAAAGCCTGAATTTTGTCAGTGCTTTCATCCATTCAGTATGTCATGAAGTGTCAGAAACTACAAAAGCAAGTTTTTTTATTTGTCTTCTACGTTATACTTGAAGCTCCAGTGCAAATTTCAATCACCAAACATATCTTGATTGATTAAACTACATTTGGATTAAAGAGAAAAATGTAAAAATCAAAATGAAAAATTGATTTTTGGCCAATCCATTGTTCAGAATCAGACTACATGGAGCCATTCCAAATGTGAGTAGTTGTCCTCATTCTTCACCCTGCTACATTACTCTTTATGTCTGAATGAGAATCCCAGACCACAGCATGGAGTGTGTTCTTTCAGCCCTCTAAAAAAGCATGACCAACATTAAACATCTTCCAGGATGTGTGTGAAGAGCTTAATTAGCAGGAGAGAACATTCATTTGCTGCTGTTCAGCCACTCACACCTCAGTTAGAGCAGAGGAGAAACCCTCAGGGACCGCCAGAGTCTGAGAGTGTGAAAATGTGTGTGTATGGGGACAAAGGGGGCTCCCACAGGGACTATTACAGTGAAAGGGCTCCTTCAGGTCAGAGAAGGTAAGAGGAAGAAGGAGAGTAAAGTAGCGTGGCCTGCTTCCTTACACAAGTCAGCCATGTAAACTTTGAACTGGACTATACAGTTTACTAATGTTGCCTTAAGGATTATAAAGTAGGTTGTTTCATTGCAATTTCACTGTGAATTTAAGCTAAACTGACAACATGCAAAACCAGAAGACTATAAGAGAAGATACAAGCACAGAGTTTATGTGCTGATTTTTCCACAAGGCTCAAATCTGCAGTGAGCAGGTCTATCATTCCTGCTTCTGTTGAACTGTTTAAGAAGTCATTTGCATTCGTAAATTGTAAACCCCAGTTTTGTGTGGGAAAAGCACCCTTATCTGGTTCTCTTCACCAGTGATGGCTGTTAAAGTTTCCAAGCATCAACATTCAGTCTAAACTAATCAAAAGTAAGCTGTTGTCACAATCATGAAGATGTTTACATGTTTATGACCACCCATTCAGCCTACAGCAGTTTAGACCTGCTCATTCACACTTAAGTCTGTGGCAGAATTAAAGGGGAATTCCACAGATTTTTCAAAATTTCTGTAAAATAAAAAGATTAATGTGTAAACAAAATCTCGTTCATGCTTTCATTACTTTGAGGTTGGATTACTATAATGTCTGGATGTTCCAGGAAAAGCTTTAACAAGCTTCAGTTACTCCACAACACTGCAGCCAGAGTCCTTACAAGAACTAGACAGTTTGACCATATCAGTCCAGTTTTATCAAACCGACACTGGTTGCCAGTTAAATTCCACATTGAGTACAAAATTGTTTTACTGACATATAAAGCTGTAAACACTCTCACCCCTCAGTACCTGAGTGAACTTCTCTTTTATTATGAAGCATCACTCCTACTTAGATCACAAGGTGCTGGCTTACCATTAGTACCTAGAATTAGTAAAGTTACATCAGGGGGTAGAGACTTCTCACACAAAGCCCCCCAAATTTGGAATAACCAACTGGACTCAGACACAGCTACAGTCTTTAAGTCTAGGCTGAAAACCTACTTGTTTAATCAAGCCTTTGGTTTACTATAACACTTTTTGGTATTATGGTAAACTGGGAGTGTTTGTGCTGTCGTCCTGCTGCTCTCACGCATTCACTTAAGTTTGCTGACTGATTGCTCATGTCTTTGTTACCTTCTGGCTCTCCCTTTTAGTTAGGCTGCAATAGCTAGACCTGCCGGAGTCACTACTGCACTCTGGTAACACTGTATACTGTAATCAGTCACTCTTAACTAACACTCAGTGTGTTTCTTCGCCAAGCTGAACAACTGTACATCCTGTGTTTGGCCATGAGAGCTTCCGGCTGTACAACGCTGTGCAAAACTCACCTGCATGACCCTCCTGATGATACTGCTGCATGCACAGATTCAAACTATTTAATCAAAGCCATTGCTTTAACTGCCTCACAATACTCTGAGCTCTTCTTATATTCATATTGACAGATCATTATCACAGGCCTATAACAGTAGTCACTGATGTTCATGGTTTTCTCTGTGATACACTTCTAGCAGTAGTCATTGGTTTTCACTGGTAACACTGATTGATTCTCACAGATCTGTTTCTCATTTTTACTCTGACAGGCCTCTAACAGTAGTAATTAGTTATCACTACTTAATCTAAATACTTCTGTTCAATGACAGGCTGTTTTTTTTTCATTTTCTCTATATTTTAATATTTGATTTGCACATCATTGTATTCTGATTTTGTTTACATTTTGCTCAGCATCCCAACTTTTTTGGAAACAGGGTTGTACTATCATGTTATCATTATCAACATACATATACAAACTCAGAAGATATGTAGGTTTACTGATGGTTCTTGGAATAAAACGTCTACATTTGTGTTGTACACATTGCAACCCCTGGTTCCTATCACTCCCACTGTAAAGATATCTGATTTGGCAAACTGCTCTTGAACCAATCATTTCACATCAAACTATTCTAAATGACTGTTTACATCCCAACCACTGAATTATGCAGAATTTTTGAAAAAAACAAACAAAAAAAAACAGTGGAATTCCCCTTTAATACAGTAAAAATGTGGAGGTAAACGATTAAACTTAGACCAGAGAACACTGACATATATCAGTCTAAAAGGCCCAGCAACACAAATGGCCTACTTAATTCTAAGGGATAAAGACCGGTTTGAAAATGGTCAAGTAAAAAGGAATAATGACTATTTATGGTAGAGCCTCTTTGATGCATTGACTTTTCCTTTCTGTCTTTCTCCCTCAATCTCTTCTCCACCTCAGTATCTCAGTGCACTCTCTAAAAAAAACTCCTAAATCTCTTTCTCACACAGGTGGAACTAAATGATGCTTGCTTCACAGCATGGCTTTTGTATGAGCAGGGGAAGGGGAATGTAATTAGGGTTACACACACCCTGGTCACATTAGCTGTCCAGCACAGCAGAGAGACTTAAACTAACTGTAAATGCTGTAGTGTTGTGCTAGTGGAGGGCATGGAGTGCTGTTTGGCTTGGCTGGAGGCTGTTTGTTTGCGCTTTTGCGTCTAAGAGGGCTTCAGTGGCAGCAAGGCCAAGAGCAACAGGCCTGCAGAGGCAGAGGGCAGCTAACTTGTCCAGCCTCTCTCTCTGTTCAACATGCAGCCATTAATCCTGCAGTGAAAGAGAGCAAACAGAGAGCCAGAACAACCTCAACTTAGACAGAGAAGCAGCCAAACGGCTCTTAGCACCCACTAACCATGGTCAGATTGAAATCACACTTAGACAGAACTCAAGCTCAATTACACAGCAGATGCTAAACACTTACGCCACCATTCAAATGTTCGGGATTAATCTTTCCAATAATATAAAATCAATGTGATGGCAGAAAAGACATAAAATAATTCTTATATGCAACTTTATAGGTTTCAAATAATGAATAGGAAGCTAGCAAGCTGTAAACACAAATTAAGAAATTCTAGAGGTGTTCAGAATGACAGAGAGCTGTAAAAATTATGATAAAATTAATATCCAGGCTTTTATTTCCATACAAATGGACAGTGAGACATTTTGAGACAGAAATTGTTACAATTCTAAAATCTGAGTCCTGAAATCTAAATGGCTTAGCTGCACTTGAACCCATAAAGTATTTGATATACACACACGTACGACCACCTAACAACAACTGAATTCTGCCTTAATACGCTAACTCACTAAAAACCATTGCACTGTTAAGGATCGTTATGCTGCCAGCATGGACCACCAAGTGCACTGACAGTTGAGGTAAAACACAGTTTGTTTAAAGGGGCTGATAACAACTGTGCTAAAATATAGCAGGCTAGACAACAGCTAAAAGGCTAATTTACTCCTCCATTAGTTATTCACAGAACAATTCACTTTAAAACAGCAAAATATGAAGTGAAGAATGTTATCTGAATCACTTGCATACATGAATACAAATACGTGGCACGGTTAGCTTGATGCCATCATAAGGAGGAGAGGAAATCGTATTGACGCACTAGCGTAAACTAGCATTACTGTTGCGGTGGTCATTTGGAGGGCAAACAGAATATCATTATGTAGTTGTGAACACAGCTCTATTATGATATGTTCAGTATCATATTACAAAAGAAAAAGTTCATGAAATTTTTGCAACATGCAGTGATAGGCTGTACCTTACAGTGATTTTGGAACATGAAAGGGATTTTATGCACTGGCGATGTCACTCTGCACTGTGCCTAACAAGACCCCTCTTGTGGCTTATTGTTTTATTTTATTACTAACTTATTATTGTAAATAAAATAACAGAAATCATTAATACAGCAAGTGATTACAAACTTTGGAATGGTACTGCAGCTTTCACTAACAGTCACTTTGACTTTCACACCTTCATGAATGTTCTGGTCTGAATACACCAGAAATGTGGCTCTGTTCTCACACACATTTTTATGTTTTCATTTTGTTTTAAGTTCTCGGCTTTTACGCAAGCAGGGCTGAATAAAGAAAACAGGTGTTGCTCTTACAGGATTCTGGGGTTTGTTTCCATGTGGAAACAGTGTATAAGAATTAATGCTTTTCTCTCTTTTGCATTGTGGGTAACTCAGGGATCAGCCAATACCAAAACTATGATTCAAAAGCTGTATTATTTGCATACATTGAACTTAAGGCTTAAGTATCATGCCTGGCAGCTCCTGGGCATGACAAAGCAAGGATTTGTAAGGATCACCATGATCTGGTAGTGAAAGGTGAGCTTTCACCAAAAAGTTTTGCTCCGGTTATGAACAAGTAGTAAAAACAGTTAAAATTACAGTGGCTCTTTGGGCAGGTAAGTGTTTTGTACAGAGCGTCTGAGGTGAACAGGGAAGCTGTGAAAATACTCCTTAGAAAAGTAGTTTGTGAGTGTGAGAGAGGAGCAGCGTACAGATGCTCAACACAAAGGTCTGATTGAGGGCTGGCCTGCTAGGTGGCCACAGAGTGTGCTCTGTTAGGGCCTGCTCCCGGACCGCTGGCTGCAGGGGGAGGCATGTTTGAAGCCCAAACTCACAGCGGGTCGCTGTTTAGGCTAATCGCATGAGCCACATCAGAAGGAGAAGGGTCAGCCGCAATGGCTGAGGGGAGCTGAGGGGAAGGAGGAATGTGTGTGTGTTACGTCAGACCTCTCAGGATCTCAATGGGGAAGAAAATATAGTATACTGGTTACCTATATACAGTCATGTGAAGAAGTAAGTACACAGTTGAAAGAATTCTGCACGGAGGAATGGGCAACAATTTCTCCCAGATGTCAGAAACTGGTAGACAGTGGAAATGCCTACATAAGGCAAAAGTACAGTTACTGAAACCAGGACAGTAATTTTTCAACAGACAAAAATGACATCAGTTAATTTTTATCTTTTTTACGTTTTTCCTATGCAAACTGTTTAACTGAAGATTAAATACTGTCCACATATGTCAAAAAATTGACAAATTACTCGCTAGTGAACAGGGAAATATTATCAGTCTGATATTAGAATTAGAGCTGGTAATTACAATTTACAACTGCACACCCAGTTTATGATTGCACATGCACTGATGCACATATATATTTACCAGTGGTGAACATTTCTGTTCTTTTTAAACTCACTGGATTGAATAGTGTAGTGGATAAAGTTGATATAAATGAATAGCAAAACAATATGAAGCATATCCAAAGCTTAGGTTGCATATGTGTTGTGTGTTAATGTGTGTAAGGGCATATGAGAACAAAGGAGAGACTGCGAGAATATACTTTTCCAAGATACACAACACCACAGCCATGAGGCTTCTGTGCCTCTTGGATGACACTAAACCACAGCGACAAGGCTTCTCTGCCTCTTGCGTGATGCTACAACGCAGTAAAAAGGTGTCTTGGCCTCCTGAGTGATACTACACTGCAGCTACGAACTCCCCTGCCTGGGTTGAGGATGCAGCATCCAAAAACAGTTAGGTCAGAAACATACTTCACTCAACTATGCAAACATAAATGCATCAAGCTAAGCAAATTCTGTTTTGCACATCAAAGCTTAATGTTTATCAGAATTTTCTATGACACTTCCAACATGGTTTAACTTGTACTGTGCAGCATGGCGTTTTCCATGTAGTGTGTAGTAAACTTTAGGCAGCTGCACAGCCTTCACTGGATTAAACAGATGAGAAACTCTGACCAAAACATCAGAAACAGGCACTTCACTGCCCTCTGCTGGAGTTCAAACATATCCCAGTTGTCAAATGAGAACACAGTGTTACAAGAGAAAAAGTTTATCCATTCATATATAATTCAATTTTCATTGCTGTTCCAAAATTAGAAAATTATGACCAATCCTTAGGACCCACCAGACAATTTGTTTGCTCTAATCTAGCTACCAGCACACCTATACCAGGTGTTCAGTGTTCTTTATGGCTTGATTCAAGTGCGTTAGAAGCTGATATAGAGGAAGACTGTGGACCATCTGATAAGCCCCAAGTGCTGGTTTGAGAAGTATAATGTGTGCAGACTCTCTAAGCATACATGGACACACCCTGCCCACTGTGCTCACCTATATTGATGGCAGTCTCCTGCTTGTCGCCGGTCAGGATCCAGATTTTAATGTCGGCCTTCATCAGAGTCTCTATAGTCTCAGGTACACGGTCCTGCAGCTTGTCCTCGATTGCTGTGGCACCCAACAGCTGCAGGTTCTGCAGAGATTACAAAGCACAGATTCACCACCACTCACCAAACACTGATACCACAGGAGAGAAACCTGTGTGCCTTTTTGAAACACATCTGATTCTACTTATCAGCTAACTATCAAGCACTTCATAAGTTGGGTCAGGTGTTACAGCAGGAAAAAAAAAAAATGTAAAGAACATGAGGTGATAGGGCTGACAATAGCAACCAATCAGTTTACTCTATGCTCTTATATGTATTGCAATACTTTTAGAAAATGAATAGAATGCTTTCTTTGAACTGGTTACTCTTTAAAATAAAGGAATACATCATAAGTTTTTTTTTTCCCACAAAGCAACTTTAAATAACAGCCTTACTCCCAAGGCAGTGATCTGAACCCCAATTTCCCTCATACTAGGCTGTATTGTTACCCACTATGCTGTATTACTACATAAGTGAGTTCTAACTCTATAAAGCCTAGTACAAAGCCATGTTTTTTATAACAATAACTTGGTTTAGCAAGTTTTTAGTGCCCCTTTACTACCGACATTACGTTTGGTTATTCAAAATAACTACACTTTAAACAATACCAAGTCTTTATTTACGAAATTTCTAGTGTGATGCACATGTCCGTGACAGATCAGAATTAGGCAAAATCTCTTTAAGCAGTACTGCACCAAACAAGGTGCTCAAGAGGAATGAAGCTTGTGGAACCTGAGCCGACCAACTAGGTCTATTCCTGGGGCGAGGCGGAGTTGAGCCTTCCTGAAACTGATCTTGAATGGCCATATAAAACACAACTATTACACATGCTCTCTAGGGTCTATCTGCTAGCTTGTTACCATTATTAACTACATTAGCATATGTGAGTGAAATACCCCTTTAATATATGAATCAAGTCCCTAATTCAAGAGAACCCTCACTAAAATTTATCAGTGTTTGCCATACTCTCTGACAAGAAACTCTTAGTTGGTAAAATCATTGTGCTTTTTAGTAGTTTTTGACTGGATGTTTCAGTTATTCAGTTTAAGAAATACCTCTAATATTATGCATTAGGCAGCAGAGTTTCACATTCATTAGAATATGAAAGCTCTCCATTCCCATCACAGAGGAAGTGAAAGCCTTCCCATAATAAGCAGTGCAGTGGGAGTGTGGAGTGGATGGCTTCTGAACACTAAAGATTCAGCTGGAAGAGCCAATGCTGGACTGTGTTTTTCTCTGGTAAGCTGAACCTGCACACCCTCAGATCTGGCTGAGGATGTGGGATCAGAGAAGGAAAGGTGGGGCATTTAGAGGCCTGAGAGAGGGAGAGGGGGAGGGGGAGAGAGAGAGAGAGAGAGAGAGAGAGAGAGAGAGAGAGAGAGAGAGAGAGAGAGAGAGAGAGAGAGAGAGAGAGAGAGAGAGAGACGATGGTTTGACTGTTTTTCTTTTGACTGGCCAGAATTTTATCAAAGATTTTTTTCTGCCAAAGTTATGACAGAACCCAAAAGTAAAAGAGGAGGAGAGATGGATACAGAATATAAGGAGAGAGAGAAAAAGAGAGAGCAGATATAGAGAAGCAGACAAAGAGAAAGAAAGAGAGACAAAAAGAGCACAGAGAGACAGAAAGAGAGAGAAAAAGAGTGAGCAGAGCATGAGCAGAGAAAGAGAGAGAAGATAGAGAGAGAGAGTAAAACAGAGACCAGAAGAAAGACAGAAAAAACAAGGGAGAAAGCAGAGAGAAAGAGCTGGAGAAAGAGAGAAAGAGAGAGAGAGAGAGAGAGAGAGAGAGAGAGAGAGAGCGAGAGATAGAGAGAGGGAATGGGGGTCTATCAATCAATCAAGTAACAATTCAGAATATGACGTGAAAAGCAGTGTAACTGTCCCACTCCTGTCTGCTCTCAGGTAAGATACAATGATCTCGCCCTCTGGTTCTCAGTATGGTACATTTTACTGTTTTCCCTGCTCTCAACACACCTGACTAAACTCAGCAACTCAGCCCCCTGCTGGGCAGACTCTGTAACTACACCATGACTTATTTGTTGTGCTCATTTGTTTTGGGCAGCCAGGCAGGTTTGGCAGTGATGCTTCAGAGCCTGATTAATGATGGTGGCCGGCCATGTTTGTTCAGTACCTACAAAGCCCTCATATCTACAGGCCTGCAATGGGGCTTTCCGCTTTCTGACTGCTTGCTCCCCCTCAGATGCCTCATATTCTACAAAATGTGTCATTTTGAATAATCATTTACTGGCAGAATTAAGCAACTGCCCTTTGGCTTCTTTATAAGAGGTTGACTCAAGAAAATTGACTGCCTGTGGTAGTAGTGGGTGGTACGCTGGTTCATCAGGCATCCCACTTGCTTGAATTTTGAATTGTGTTATAACCTTTATACCGGTATGCCAGAAGTAAGCGCAAATGATGCAACACATATAGTGTATAGTCAGTTGCAGACTGAAATAGCACACTTTTGTCTACAAGAGACTAATATAGACGGGTCTGCCAGTCTGTTAGTCCATTGCGGTTAGCTTTTAGCTTAGCATGGATCAAGCCATGTCCCGTGCTTCTGTTTTGCTACTGAATTGGTTCAAACTGTGGTCCCAGAGTAAAAAAAAAGTTAGATATTTTACAAGGATTATGTTTTAATGTATTTATGAACCATCAAGGCATTATTTGAGATGGTAGTAAACTTAAAAAATGCTGTCCCAAGCTTTTATATCACTGCCAAAACACAGTTTAAGTCCACAGGCTTTTTGAAGAAAATGTGTCCCAAAGTCTTGAAAATAGTGTGTAACCTTAAGAATAGTCACTACTGAAAGATTTAGTTTCTGCAATTAAGTAAACCTTTTGGTGTTTTAATACAAATATTATGATTTATGTATGTACAACTGTTAAAAGCTGTGTTTGCTAATCATGTACTGACTAGCATTTTAGAGTGACCCCCCCCCCACACAAAATTAGCTTGAATTGTTGCGAAAAAGTCATTACCGTACATGGCAGACACAGACTAGGTTGAAAAACGCTTGTATGCCTTTAACCTAGTAGCCTCCTGTACAAGGCCGGTTTTTTAGAACAGCCAACCAGGACTCAACACAGCTATCACCCAGTCAGTTAGGTCAGTACTCTATGACCGCTGGGCCATCTGCCTTCAGTTTTGACTCATACTAATGGTGGTTTATATGTGTGTGTTTATGTGGTACTGACCTTCTCAATGAGCTCATAGCTCTCCTCCAATTTGAGCGCTCTGTTCTGTAGAGAGGTGCAGGCTCGATGATGCACTTCCTGCCACTGCTGATACACTGACTCTGATATGTCCGCTACAGCAAAACACAGCGTACGCAAACCTACAGGAGCACACATTAAACATTTGACACTTTTACTCATATGGGAAAGGCATTTATTAATATGGAGCACAACAACAAACCTCCTCAAAACACAGCAGGATTTGTATTACTACTAAGCAATAGTAAGTGTATTAGTCATGCACTCACTGAGGTGATGCTTGTCTGCAAAAACAGAGTGATGTTAAGATTTATTCTTAGCTTTGCTGTTAATTAATTTATCAATCTATTAGAAGGTGACGTCTGTAATTGCATTGCACTGGAAGTTCATAATCAATGTCACAAATTCTGCAATATTCCATTAGCCCACAAGGGGGCAGACTATTCATATTATTACATCCAGAAAGAACAAAAGTAAGACTGCAATGCTGCAGTTCAGGCCCTCACTGCTGATGAGAGACTATGAGAAAATTCTAACAGCTGCTTCTGAAAAAGAGCCTTTTGATTTTTGGAGCTGTGGATCAGGCAAACTTCAACAATATTAAGCATTCTTGAGAAGAGACCAAGCAATCTGATCACACTTGATTTTGTCCAATCAACCACAAATAGCTGAAATTTAAATGTAAAATAAAAAAAAAAGATGTGTGCATGCTCTCACCCTCTGTAGCGAACTGTTCCAGATGTTTGAGTGTGATATCCTTATATCTGGAATTGTCTGCCAAGCGGTCATAGATCACTGTGTCCTGTAAAAGAGATATTACTCTCAGTTCCACCGATTATTTCCAAGGATGGATGGATGGATGGATGCCCAGACTGGATTTATAAAAAAAAAACTTCTTCAAAGCTTTCAATTTCATTTCATACTTTCAGTATGGTTCACTGGCTGTTTAAGCATAATAGCATCACAAGTAAGTTGTTAAATAAAGGAGAAGCACCTTTTCAATCAAAGTCTTCAGAGCAGACAGTAGCTGTTTTCAGTTACTTTAATCAACCAAACAACAGTACCAATGCCTATGTAAAGAGGTTCTGCCATATCTAATAATGTTATGATGTCACAGGACTCAGGATTTTCTGCCAGAGTGCAAGAGCGGGAGCACAGAAAAGAAATAGATCTTGGACTAAATTTAGATTTCACATCATATTTGGTAGCAGGTACTCTACAAACGGAAAAAAAGCCTGTTTAACCCTATCATACCTAAAGTCTAAAGTCTCATTGTTGATACATTCATCAACGTGTCCATTTAAAAACAGTTAAAGACTCCAGAGTGGCTGGGACACGTCCATTTTGAACATCGTAAAATGGGTCATCCTGTGGGATTGGAGCCCTCTATGTGCTACTGTGTTTTCGATTACTACATAAAGGAAGCTCAATGTTGCCTTATTGTTGGAGTATGTGTGCACATTGAGAACAGAGCTCAGATCAAGGGCTTATCACTGATACTTAACAAAGTAACAAAAACATGAAATGTGTAGTAGTTCCTGTCCTATTCACGTTTGTTTGCTTTAAGAAATCATATCATGTTATTAAAGAAGAGTAGATTAAAAAAGCAGAAATAGTCATTTTTTTCCCCTCAGCTTTAAATGGTTTAAGCATATGACAGTAATGTAATAGCAGAGCCTTTAGTGGATTTCCTGGCCTGTAAAACCAGAAAGCTCTATGTTTCAGTGCAAGCTATCACACACACACACACACACACACACACACACACAGAGCCCATACACAGGAATAAGTCTTGAGAAAAATGTCCGTCGTAAGTCCACCGTGACATGAAGAAAAAGTCTGTGTGTGTATCGGAGTGTGTGTGCATGATTGTTTGAGTGTGTGCTCTGTGTGTTTGTACCGCTGACAGAAAGGTTGGAGAAAACACTAAAAACTGCCGTTGCCACGGTCGCCACCATTTGGCAGCACTCTGTTGCCATGGCGACAGACAGACAAGACACTCACGGCTCCTTTGCAGTAGAGGCGGATCTTTCCGGATGGAGTGCGCATGATGACTGACATCCTCTTCCTGGCACTGAGGGAGAAAATGACAATCATCATAACCAATGTAATAAGAAAAACACTACATCAACAAAAAAACAAGATTTTTTTTAATATTCAATAAAGAGAAGGAATAATATAACTATGAAAACCAGAAATCAAGATGTGATCAGATTAAATGAGGAAACAATCATGTTTAACAACAACAACAAAAAAAAATCTCATGACTGTACCTTGTGAACTCCAACACATGCAGAAGTTCATATTTTTCCTCTTCACCAAGCTGAGAGAGGCAGACAGGAAGGCAGAGAAAGAGAGACAGAGAACAAGAAAGAGGCAAACTTATTAACCTCAAAAGAAGTCCTAGAAAAGTCTGCTGTTAATTAATGAAGGGTTAGAGAGTTCTTCATCATTATGTTATCTTGTGTAAATCCTCATGAGTCACTGTCCACACTGCAGAGCAAGATATTAGAAGACTGAATGAATTTTAACATCCTCCATAACCTATAAACCATCAGGTACATCACCACAAATTAGCACAGTACTGTGGTCAGGTTAACAGCCCTCTCTCTACTTACAGACTTGGGGTAGTACTGTCTATTTGTCCCGCTAATTTAATTTAGTTCAATCTGCACCCGTTTACAGCCCTGTGTGCAAAAGTGTCTACAGCACATCAGTGTAATCTTGTCCTCCGGCTGATCCCCCTCTCTCGCACTCTGCAGACTATGTCAATCACTGACAGAAGCAGTGAAAGAGTCAAAGAGAACAAATGACAGAAAGAAACAGCTTCATGGAGATGAAAAAGAAAGAAAGACAGAAAGGAAGAGAAAAGAAAGAAAGAAAGAAAGAAACAAACAAACAAAGAAAGAAACAAAGAAAGAGAGAGAGAGAATAAAATTGTAGAAAGAAAGAGATGCAGTAAAGGAGTGCGAACATGAGAGAGTAAAAAAGAGAGATTTCCTTCATTTATTTAGACTCGGAGTACATTGAGCGAAACCTTCATTTTCTGTGTAGCCGAGACAAGCCAAACAGAAACGCAAAATAAATAAAAAGCATAAATAAAGTATTAATACACTGTAAAAAACATAACAATGGACATTGGGAAATAATAATGCTAAACATAAAAAGGAGCAATGGATTACTCAACTAAAACAATTACACACTAAAACAAAGTGATGAAAAATTAAACATTTAAAATAAATAGTAAAGTTTATTTTAATACTACTTTGCATATTGTTCTAGCTTAGTGGTGCAATATAGTTAAAATCAGTTTTCCCAAACTGGCACAACCTGAAGTGTAAGTCAATCACTGAAAGAAGAGTGAAGGAGAGCAAGGGAGAGAGACAGAGAGTGTGTAAGAGTGCAAGAGAATGTGTGAGAGAGAGTGAGAGACAGAGTGAGACAGTGGTAGAGAGCGAGAAAAGAGCATGTGAGATAGAGACAGAGAGAGAGAGATAACATGAGAGAGAGTGAGAGAGAAAAAGAGAGACAGACTCATTACAGCTCCATGGAGACTGTATGAAGACTGAGAGAACCTGGGATCAGCGTGTCTTGACTGAATCTCTTTGTGTCGTTATCCACTGTACAACACTAATAGTGAATCTATCAGAGAGGCACTGCACAGAATAAATGAAAGTTATTAGAGCAATACAGTGTCTCAAAAATGTCCATTTATTACACACGCCATGGTAATTAAAGGAAAAACATCACTGCATTATTCTAAGCATCCCTGTAGCGCAGTACAGTAACTTTTAAGATAATAGAGAGTGTCAGGTGGACAGTGTAAGCAGCAGTGAGGAGAGAGGAGTAAAAGCTGTGCAGCGGAGCATCTGTGGTGCACTTACAGACTCAACGATGACGCTGTCCGGGGTCCTGGCTGAGAAAACAAAACCAAGATTCCGCGCTGCGCGTACCAGAGCACCTTCATCTTTAGAAACAGAGAAGAGCAGAAGGTCAGAGGTTCTGAAATCTATGCTAAATCCAACCCATGACCAGCAGCCATGGTCATAAAGCACCTGAGAGTAGGGTTACTGTTTCTAGTTCAGGACTTCTTGAACTGGGAGACACGACAGCATAATATGAAAAGAACACCATACTGCAACTATATATATTGCTATATATTGCAAATGAGGTAGGCTTTCATGTGAACACCCTGATTCAACCAAACACCAAGAGGCCATCTTTGATTGGTCAAGATGCTCACAGCACTCCGCAAAACATTTAGTGATGGATCGGAGGCTCATTTGCATATTGCAGACATCTCCCTATGTCTGCATTTTCTCTCGTTTCTGTACCACAAACTGCCGTAAAATAAAATAATAGTGAAAATATGCGTTTGATTTTGGCTCATGGATCAGAACATCAGCGACGTGAGGGTTTAAACTCAAACTGATAAACCAATGAGAAATAAGCAGTTATAAAGTAAGGTTTTTTATTATTATTGGTGATTGTGATAACACCAATACAAAAGCCCAGTGAGTGGAGTGAGGTTTGTCTATTTCAAATAAATCACGAATACCCTCAAAACTAAAGCTCCAAATCACAGTCCACATCCACCTCGTACATTTCTATTCTTTTTGCGTTTCCCCCTTTTTTAACATCTCTGCAAATATATTTTTTAACATAACTGAAAATTTGGGGACCTGTGATTGAGCCAAAATAGACAATCTGATCTTTTTCAGGCACTGATTCTCTGGTTTTCAGTTTAGCACTTCAGCACAAAAAAATATTGTATTCAAAAAGTTGATTATAGTTTTCCTGTGGGCCGCTATGCTTTGTAGTTATAAACACGTGGGCCTTGGGGTGGAAAAGGCTGAGAACTCCTGCCATAAAATACAAAGTGACATTAACTAATCAATAATAAAGACAATAAGGAAGGAGAACAATAAAGCACAACAGAAGGAAAAACCTAGTAAAAAACAAATTTAAGTGAATATGTTTTGAGATCATCTTTAAATCTTTAAACGTGCAAAGTGTGTCAACAGCTCTTAGGCTTTGTGAAAAATCGAACAATAATTTACTAAGGCAAAGAAAGACAAGATCATGGAAACACACATATACATACATATATATATATATATATATATATATATATATATATATATATATATATATATATATATATATGTATGTATATATATATATATATATATATATATATATATATATATATATATATATGGCCAATACTAAAAGATAACCAACCAATGAAGGGATTAAAGAGCCAATGTAATATGATCCCTCATTCTGGTGCTTGTCAGAATTCTTCCAGCAGCATTCTGAATGGAACGCTTGTGTAGGCCAGATAAGAGAGTATTACAGTAATCCAGTCTAGTTGACACAAAAGCATGCATAAGTTCCTTCTTGTCGGCAGAGCAGAGAATGTCACGGACTTAAGAGATATTGTGGAGGTGACAGTAGTCGTTTTCGGCCTTCAGAGATAAGCAGTCTAAATATGCCAGCATATATTTTCTCTGTGCTTTATTTCCTGCAACAAGAACCTCTGTCTTACCTTTGTTTAACTATGAAAATTAATGTCATCTATGAGCACAAGTTAATGTCACCTGGTGCTAAGGGCTGTGTGTAAAATGCATAGTAATAAGGGCAAATGTTAATTATCCCAGCCAGAGGAAGTATATACATGCTAAATATTAAAGGGACCCAGAATGGAGCCTTGGTGGAACTCCTTTGTGACACCTGCACACATAAGTAGGGGAAAGTGGGGCTCAATCTAAAGCATTATTTTTCCGAAATATATTTTTTTAAATGTTTGAGCAAGATAACTCATGTTTTATACAAGTGACCTGCACATTACTGCTGTAAGTGAAAGTATAAACTTTGTTTCGAGAACCTACTGTTTACGAACAACTCTGCTGAAAGTGGCACGAGTGGAAATGTTAGAATTTACCTCATTGGTGAGGCTAGATGTAACAATTGCTAGTTTCAAAATATAACTTTTTTAAATTTGTATGACTGGAGGTGGGGGGTCAGGTGGCTGGACTGTTCTAATTGTTTACTGGGGTGACTTAGTTGCTGCCCCTGCCGGGTGGAGGCTGTACTTTAACCTGGTTTGCTCCCAACGAAAGTTCATACGCTTCAAAATGTTATATTGTAGGCATTAAGGAACGGATTAAAACAAGGTGTGTGTGAATTCTGTGGTTCGTTCACACAACTCAACCAAGACACACTTCAGATGAAAAAAATTACTTTCATGGTGCAAAAAGGACTTTAAGGCGAATCTCATCTGACCGCTCAGAAAATTCACAGATAATGTTGCTATGGGAATATGAGAAGGTGACCAAAAAGCATGTCCAATTTCAACCTCCTTGACTAAATAAAAATCAATGTTACAGTTTTACCCAGTGTTAGGCTATGCTCTGCGCTCCTCTATCTTGTGCAAAATAGTATTTAGAAGCTCAGGTATGACCTGAATTGTTCCAAGATTGGTTGCTTAAGTCTCAAAACATGTAAAAAGTGCCCTTTTGGTGTTATGGTAGGCTTGAAAACCAGACTGAAATATTTCATTGGGGTTATTTGTGTTGAGAAAATAATTGAACTGGAGGAACATTCCTGTCTTAATTATTTTGCCAAGAAGTGCAGAGAGTCTACAGTTACTAAACATATAAGCATCAAAAAGTGTTTTACTTTGACAATATCTCTGTAGATAAATTCCATGTTATATTAACTGAAAGACCATATTCAGAACAGCAGCTGATAATGAAATCAAAAATTGTTTCAGAAGTTAGTAGGTAAAGAGTCATTAATCTTTGAACTGCATTACGTTTCACTTGCGGCAGTAATTTTGAAATTAAAAATATGACTAATTTATTCCATTTATCACTTGAGAACAGCTCAGATGAGATGTGAAGGGAGGGCTTAATTAATCTATCTATAGTGTGAAAAAAGGGAATTCTGGATTGTCTTTGTGAATTAAGCTCAAGATGCTAGCTTCCATGTCAAGCTTCATTTCATGTTTATGAGCATGGCCTGCTGTCAAACACATATTGCCTAATATCAAAGGAGTTTGGTAAAATCCACAGTAACAGGACTTCTGGGCACATCCATATGAATATTAAAATCCCCTGTAATTAGCTGCTCTCTGTCTAGGTCAAATCTGGGACATGCTCCAGTTTCTCCATACAGTAACATCCATTAGAACAGAAAAGCCAAAAACTGATCCGAGATCAATATTCTTACTCCAAAAAGATATCACTTTCAGTGTCAGGAAGAGAATAAAGCCAAGTCAGACAGCTCTCATATGAACTGATTTATTCTGAGCGAGTCTCAGGCACTGTGAAACTTGAGGATCAGTGATCAGTGAGAGAAGAATATCCAATGATTAAGCTCTGAACTAGTAATAAAGTTGGTGTTTATGTATTTTTGTATACTTCTTAATGTGATGGGTTTTTCAATCCATAACTGAAAGATGACTAAGCAAACTTTTAACCTGCTCGTCATTTGTTGAGACGCACTGTAATTAAGAATAAAACAACTAAGTATCGCAGTCTCTCTCTCTCTCCTCTGAGTCAGAGCTCAACTCTGATGTCTGAGAGAGATGTTGACATGTCTGCCTACAATAAAAGTTACAGGAAATTAACAGCAGCATTCATGGAGGAACAAAAAGTATAAACTAGACACAAAAAAAGGTTTGTTCACACACAGCTGCCTGGTACACTGAAGAAAACTGTAGTAATACCTAGCAATAACTACAACATTCTAGAAGAAAATGGAAATTTCTAAAACAAAGTGGCAGTATTAACTGATTATAAATGGAAATTTCTAGAAAAACAGCTATAGTAATAACTAGTAATAAGTAGATATTTTAGACAAAAGAGATGACATCTAGAAGAAAGCTATAATAAGTAACAACTAGTATTCTAGAAAAAAAGGTTTAGTAATAACCAGAAAGTTCAAAATGAGTAATAACTAGTAATAACTGGACATTTCTAGAAAAAAGCTGCAGTAATAAGTTACGTCTAGAAGAAAATCAAATTAATAACTAGTAATAACTTTATAAGAGAAGTAGTAATTATTAGTACTAATAATAAATTAGTAATAATAACAAATGTAAAAGAAAGCTCTAGTTATAACTAGTAATAACTATGAATTTAAAAAAGGAAGTTGTAGTAAGAACTAATGAGTAAAATATTCTATAGAAAAGCTATAGTAATAACTAGTCATAACTAAAAAAATAGAAGAAAGTAGTAATAACTAGGAAACAGCAAAAAGATTTTCATAATAACTAGTGATAACTAGAAATTTCAAGAAGAAAGCTGCAGCTACAGCTAGTTATAACCACAAATTTACAGCTATGGAAATGATGGACTGATCAGATGTGTCACAAACAACTGATAAACAACTGATAAAGATGAATCACATGACTGATCACTGATTACATGTGTCAAAAACACAAGTACACACAGTGACATCTTTGTTGACAGGTTGTTTGATTTATTGACTGAGTGACTGATTGACTGTTCTACATGTGATGGAGTGTGTTGGTGTGTGTAGGTTGACGGACCTGGAGAAGCAGCCTGGTAGGCAATTGTGTCCTCATTGCGCTCAGGCACGGCTGTATGACAGATTGCCATCATGGTCATAAACTCCATGATCACAGGGGCAGTGGGCTGTGAGGGACAGGAACACACACAGGGAGAACTGTGACTATTTCAGTTATTTCCTGCACTGTTACACCCTGAATTTGAAATTAAACAATGACTTTGTGGTTTAACTGCAAAATATCAGCTTTGAGAGTATTTACATTGATACTGGGTAAACTATATAGGAATCACAAGCCTTTTATATGTAACCCCCTTATTTCAAGGGACCATAAGTAATTGGACGGCTGCTTATTTTTTAGGCCAGCTGTGTGTCATTTCATCATTAGTTAGATAGAAGGTCTAGAGTTGATTCTAGACACTGAATTTGAATCTGGAGTCTGTTGGTGCTGTCTTTCAACATGAAGACCAAAGAAATGCCAGCAAAGCAGGCCATCATTAATTTGAAATATTGAAATAAATAAATGAATCACAGACATAAAATCATGCCTGTACATGTATCAAAATCAACTGTTTAATACAACCTGGCAGACTATGGAGGACCGCAGTAGTGCATGGATTAAAAAAATACTTTTAAATCACAAAAAAACCTGTTCATTGAACAGATACAGATCAAGAACACTATTTTAGATGTGCGAACAGATGTGTCAAAAACCACCAGTAAAAGCACACACCAGTATGACCTCATATGGTCCTCATATACTTTGCTAAACAGTACATTAAAAATCCTGTAGACCTCTTGGACCAAGTCTTATGAACAAAAGAGATAGATTATGATTTTTGCTGTGACATTCTAATAATTTCCAAAATTGAGGTTTCTCAACATCAGGTATCTGAGGTTTAAAGTTCTTGGTTCGACTATGCAGTAACTGCAACATTCATACTACATAGTCATTGTGCTCTGCCTTTGTAGGGCAGAGTAACACTATTGTTTTTATAAAAAAAAATTAAATGCTAGATCACTAATCAGTCTGCAGTGCACCAAATAAATTAAATCTGATGAGAGGTGTTGACACTGCATCAATGAACCAGACTTAGAGCCTAGGCAAAAATGGCAGCTTTTCTATGTTCAATAAACACAGCGAATGATTGTTCAGTGATAAACTGAAATAACCATATCAAGCAGAACAACCGTATTGTCAACAAGTACTATCTTCAGACCACGGAGGGTTCTTAATCACAGACCTATTATTGTGGGCCTTTCAGAAAGTAATTACAGGCTCTTTCACTGGCTTCTGTATGCTCTGTGATGCATAATGTGAGAGAACAAAGCAGGCTGAGAGAACAGGTATTAAAGGTATGATTTGGGATGGGGTAGGGGTTAAGGGTCCAGGTGGTTGGGACAACTCTCATGGCCTCTTTACTGAACACAAACCACAACAGGGCCAGTCTGAGGCTTTCACAGAGTTACTGAGGCACCAGAGCTTTCTAGAATGCTGTGATTCAAAATTACAGTGAATAGAAAGGTCCACATTGAGTGCTGCCATGGTAACCTGTGTCAAGAGTGATTGACACTTGTGACTTCGGAAGCCGTGGGTGCTGATGAGAGGGATTTGAACATGAACACACATGGTGAATGCACTATCCCCCACAACACAATCAAAAATACAAACAAGCAAACAAACAAACACCTAAGCACCACAGTGAGTAAATATGAAGTAAAATATGAAATGCCCTGGAGGGGAGCTTATTTTTGACTGCACCCCAAACCTCTGTATCCACACAGACACATACAGAAACAACCCCAGGAGTGCACAACTCCTTTTAATTATATTAATTAATGATGTTTGAGTGAGAAGGGGTCATTTGGGATAGTTTTACCACAATACACCTGCCTGAGGACCCTGATCTGGGTTTCTGTGCATTGTGCGATTTGTCTTACACTGTGTACTAACAAGCAAGCGAGCATTTAAATATATTATCACACCATATCACAAAGCCTTTAGGATGTCTACAGGGGACATGTCAAATGTGCATGTTAAGTCAAATCCCAGACTTATCCAAAAAAATAGATAAATAACGTCAGCTAGAATGAATGAGCATCCTAGCCATAGTATTGTGCTGGGCAGTTTGCTCGTATCAGCTAACGTGAATCATTTACCTCCAACTCCCAGCACTCTGACAATTTCTCTCCAAATTGCTTCCTTTCTGTTAACACCTTTCAACATTTATCTACTGTAAGGGTTGTAGAGATCTCTCCTTTTCTCCACTTTAAGGAGTTTTTCCTCATCCACTTTGAGGTGGAATGGCAGAGTGATGCAACTCCTCAAAAATAAAAATGGGGCATCTTTCAAATATGGCACATTGTAACTCAACGCATTACGTGGTGTAGACAGCTTCACTGACTGTAATGGGAGGATTTTTCTTTCTGTCATTGTTGCTTGTTGTAAAAGGCAGGACCTAAAGCTGTAAAAGCTGTAAAAAAAGGTTAATTAGCCATTACCCACTGTGGTGTGTTGTCAGTTGTTACAGTAACCAGGCAGATAAAAGCAAGGTGAGCAGTTGTGTGTGTGTCTTAAATTTGATTTTTTCCCCCTGCTTTGGTTATGGAGGTTACAATGAAGTAAAACAGCTGGCGTTTGTTAACCTCAGTGTAGTGATATCTCTGGGACATGCCACAGTCCAAAAAATGAAATTCTGGCTATACCACTGTTTATTCATCTACATACTGCAAAAAATACACTTTCGATTTCATGTGATGGAAAAGCAGCCAATTAGGTTCTCAGTCACAAACTACAAGCAATAAAGTACAAACACAGACTTCCACCTAAAGATCATATGTTGAATAATAATTACATCACATCACTCTAAATAAAATCACAATCCCTAAGTCTTTCTTCAGTTGTGGTTTCATGAGAATAATTGTCTGTTGACAGGATGTACTAATCATCCAGTTTTCTTCATTCTCAGTCTAACTTCTCTGCTTTCCTACAGTGCACTTTCTATTCTTCTCTTGAGCTTCTCATTTCCTCTTTTTTAATCTGCTCCTTTCTCATTCCTCTCTAAGATGCAGAGAGATAGCAGGAGCAAGAGAGGGAGTTGTGTTTTTAGTAATGAACATCAGCAGATATGAGGAGGTATTAGTGCTAGGCAGCAGCTTGCACGGGCAGGCTGGGCTTGGCCAAACCTCTGGCTCATTGAGCATGGCTAAGCAGCCGTGAGGCCCTTACAGTACTTACATGATTGCTTTGGAGGTTTTCCAGTAAGCTGGGGTCATTAAATCCAGCCTCCTCCATCGAGTGAGAGCTGTGACTGCAGGGAGAGAGGAGAGGAGGAGAGAGAGAGAAAAGGGAGCAATACCAATATGTCAGTTAACAATAAAATAATATGGAGATAAAATGGAGATATTAATATATAGATTTAAAATGGAGATATTAATTTTCCCACAAGACGAATCCTTTGTACAGTTTCTCTTATTTGTATACAGATTTAAACGGCTTCTTCTAAGAGGTCATGCACTTGTTGGACTTTAAGAACCAGCTGAAGAGAAACAGATAGTGTGAGGATTATGTTACACAAGCTAGCTTTCTCTAATGAATCTGCACTTCTGCATAATGATAATAATCCTCCCTTCAATCATGCTTCTACTGATCTTCATCCTTAAAGCAGCCCTGCCACCAGTTGAGAACCTACTAGAGAGAATGCATTAGAGACAGACAACACTTCTCCAAATGATCCCATGATTCAGGACCTGGGTGTTTGTATCGGATTAGTTACCAATACCAAGCATGCTAACACGGCTATTTTCACCTGCAATGCTCAAGCAAACTGAGTTTACACATTGCAGGCTACAGCAGTTTCAGAGCAGTATTGATCTTTGTGTCAGTGATGTATGGTGTGCTGTTAATCATGCTGCTAGTGCAGTTATCTATAGCCTGATAGTGAACAAGCTTCTTTTAAAGGGCCATCCTTGCTGTGTACATAACACTGTCCATCTCACTCCCATAGGCAGCATGTAAGGCCTTAAAAGGTGTCCAGTGGAATTTAGCAGTAGTGATGCAAAAATGACTTTATTTGAAAGTGAGAGTGAGCAAAACTATATGACTGAGTGGAACACACTGTGGAAGCGAAGCAGACGCTGCTTCATTCTGTCCCGTGTCTCTCACAAACACAGAAAAGCACGTTTGATTGGATTTACTTGACACAGAGTGGGACATAGAGACGGACAACAGAAGTGTTAGTCGGTTGTACTCAATGCACCATCTACATTTCAAGCAATCCATTAGCGCTATGTGTGGGACATTGGTCCAGATTATGGAATTGATGTTTTTTGTTACCGTGGTTGTGTCAGATATGAGCATACATAACAAAGAGTGCTTTTATTGGCAAGGAAGAAAAGTTCAAATGCCGGTTCCGATAATCGGACAAATACTGAATTTAAATTAATGGTCAACCCCTACATCTCTGTGCTTCACAGCACCCTTACTGCAGTCTGGTTGAAATTTCTCTCTATTATTTCTCCACAGAAAGGATCTACCATCAGTTCAATGACGGACTAAAAGTGTTTATCTATGAAACAAAAAAACATTTTGTGTCCAAACACTTTTGGGGGTCACTTTATACACAGATCTATGTAGGAAAGCTGTCTGACCGAATGGCGGTGTGTCATAAGATTGGTGAATGGCATATTAAAGTACCAGCAGTTGGACAGGATGAGAGACAGGAAGGCAAATCAAATCTATCACGCTCAAAAGATCACATTGTAACCCTGCGCCTACACCAGCAGAATCCAATTTCCTGTCTCTCATTGCCTCTTGAGAAGGATATATACAGAAATATTCTGCTCTCACCCACACCTAAAAAGTCTCAGACACACACACACACACACACACAAATACGCAGAGTACTCAAGGGCATAAGCTGAACTTGCTAGCATCATCACAGACCGCAATTAGAAGACCCAAGTGTTCTGCATGCAGCGGACAGTTAAACAGCTTCAAAGGCCAGGAACGCATGCTTTACCATCACAGCACACGCAGCCAGTGCAGCACATTCACTTACACCACCACACAAACATACAGTAACTAATGACATCAGTCATACATCATACATCAGTCATACATTCTCACCCACAGTCTTAAACACCCACATAACAAAATCTTCAGCATTAATTCCACTCTTACAGTGTCCAGCTTGACCTCACCAATCCTTAAACATTTCTGCATTACTCAGTGTTTGAGATGTGAATAAAGTAAGTCAGAGTGGTTTGATGTGAAATGGTGCATTGTAGAGAAACATCCTGACTCAGACCTCTTTTCAGTGGTGGTGACTGGAACCAAGGTCATGAGATCTACAACGCACATTTAGTCATTTTATTTACTATCCAAAACCACCAGTGAACCTACATGCATCAAGTCATTATATGTAATGTTGATAATGATAATAGTGCTATATTATAAAAAAGTTTCTCTCTAGGGACTATTTTGTCTTATAACACCCTGCATGTACCTCTCTGCCATTATTAAAAAAAAACAGGGCTTATGCTAAAAACAATGACTCAGGCATCTGGCAACATATTTGTAAACATTTTACGTTATAACTTTCTGTGATGTAGCTTCTAGAGGAATTAAACACTGTAGACATCTCGTTCCTATCACGCCCCTGTCAACAGTTCTGAATTAGGAAGCTTCTCTAGAATGGCACATTTCACATCAAACGACACTGAATCACTTATCTTAATGATTGAATCACGCAGACATTTTGAAAACATAGCTGAATTCCCTTTTAAATACACAGGAGATTTTGCAGTATATTACTATTATACAGATATAAACAATTATCAGTCTCCTAAGCCACTGCCTCATTAGACAGCAGAATAGGCAGCAGACCACAGCTGCTGGATGCTTATGTGCCTGTAGTGAATTGTAATGTGACCGAGCTCTGTTCTATTCTACATGCAGTACGACAGAGCCTCTTGTTCTAGTCTGGAGAGAACAGTGTTATTGTTATTGAATCTGCAGAGTGACTCAGAAAGCTGCACTGACCAGCCCATGATCACGCTATTGACCATCTGCAGCCAAGCAGGGCAGCCGTCGCCACGGAAACAGACCCTGCCGATGATGTGGCCATCAGACCTTGATGGCCTCAAGTCTGCTCACCCAGTTACGAGATTAACACAATCTGCCTCAGTAATACACACACAGATCAATACACTATTGTACTGTATAAGCCATGGTACAACTGGACTCACACAATCACTCGCACGCACGCACGCACACAGGGTGTAAAAACTCCAACAAGTATTAAAAAATCTAGTTTTACAAAGCATATTAAAATTTAAAATTGTATGACTGTTGCGCCCCTCAGTTTCTTCCAAGCACCTCTCATTTATCACCTTTTGTTGAAACCACTAATGGTTTTCAAATATTTCACAGAATTTAAGTCAATTTCAGGAAAGACCGTAAAAGAAAATGCAAATAAATCAGAGCTTCCATCAACTACTATTTTGTCCAAACAAAGATGACAACACACTTGTGTACAGCATGAGGAGAGAGTCTCGCTCACCGTGTGTGGCTTTTACAATGAACTTTTATTAGCTCTAGGTAGTTTTGACAGCCTTCTGTCAACTGTATGTTGCTGTAGGCCTAAGAGTTCAGAGATGCAAAGTGGAGTGGGCAGTGGCTCATTTAATGAGGGCTGAAGTCACTGTCCCACTTTGCAGTCACCCACCAAATCTCTGCGAACACCACCAGGACAAACAGTTCTTAGAGGACATAGTGTATGGGCATTTTCAAAACTCGCTCGAACAGAAAACTCTTTAAAGTCAATGATCACAGCTAGGAATCTGGATGCATGCTATCAGAGCAAAATGAGCAGGGATAGGGAGGGGCTTATGTTATCCACATACACACATTCAAAGAACTGGACATTTTACCACTAAATTATAAATTCTAGGGGTTGTGATTTTTGGGGTGTACTTTGTTAGAGACACAGCAGGCATCGAAAAAGTTCTATTTGAGCACTTTCATGTATGTGAGCTAAACCGATCTGTGTAGAGCTCTGTAGCCACTTTTGAGAACTCCATATACCAATAATCAAACTCGAGTCTTGCCTGAGAATGACTGTATTAAACCTGAAAAGGTGCATTTATACACCACTAGTATGCATCTAAGCTGTGCGCACGGTGCACACTAACATACAAACACAAGGCACATATTCAAGAACTCCTTATTTTGCTGTACTGAAAATCTATCGCATCTAATTGAATTTTGTATATTATTACTCCCAACACACACATACACGTGCATGCACACTATGTACACTGTATCAGCCACTGAATGTGGAGCCACTGCAGCAGATTCCATCCAGCTCCACTGACAGCAGAGTGTTTCAGTAGGTGACGTGGATAAGAGCAGTAGAAGCAGGATGAGGAGATGAGTCTGGGGAGAAGAGTGACATTCCTCCATCCCCCCTGAGACGCACACACACTCGCTCACACTCTCATGCTCCTCTGCTACACATTAGCACTGACATGAAGTGTGAATTCTGCCCTGGGACTCAGTACAGCTGAGAGCAGAGGGAATTCTTCCAAGCTCTTAACACAGCCTGCTCGTCAGCTTCTACTGCCTTGGATGAGGCTAGATTTTCAACCCCCACTAACGGCTGTTAATGTAGTTTCTTCTCCTTTTGTTCAGGGAACATAACCAAAAGGACATTTACGGCACTGTTTTTCTTCATGTTTAGAAACAATCTGGTGGTCTATTTACTAGTATATTACCATGAAGAAATAAAACAAACATACAAACAAACAAAAACGAGTCAGCAATGTATTGTCAGAATGTCTCCAGGACCTTAAATGCACTCTGAGCACAAAGACAAAAATCTGACACTACAGTATTACTCTACTTTCACTGCAGTGGGCATACAGTGGCCACTTCCCTCCTTTGTGGATCCACACTTGATGTAAACATGTGCTTTCGTTCTTAAATGGTTATAATGGAAATACTTTTCCATTACTATTCCCACTTTTCTCCAATGTATTCAATCAGCCAAGACATGTTTGGTGTCCAAATTTTGCTTCTTCAGTATAAAACTGAATTTACAAGGCTACCACTGAGAACAAAAAGCTAGAAGTCAATAGTCATCCAAATCTTTTCTGTAAATACATCCCCAAAACTTCTTTCAATTCTTTCAAACCACATCCAGTTCTTCATAGCTCCAGTGCTAAACTAAATAATCAAAATTGGACATCAGTCATGCCTCGGTTGATCAACTTCCTTGTCATTCCTTACCACTCCTTCTAAAGCACCTAAAAACCGCCTGGGTAAGCCAAAACAAACCCCTAGCTAATGTTAATGAGAAATTTAGGATAGTTGCCACTAAATGTATTTCCCTTAGACTAGTGCCACTCTCACCTGAAGGTGCTTGTTTGCTCTTCTTTTTTCAAAAAAATAAAAAATAAAAACAAGAGAAAGCCTGTTTCGCAGTGTATTTGAGTCACTGGATGAAACATCTGATATCTCCTGAGAGTGAGAATCAGAGGGAAGGTATTGAACTCTCACCTGAGTTTTTATTATTTAGTATTCTGTATTAATTGTATTTGAAATTGAACTTGGGGAAAAAAGTATGACAAACACTCATCATTATTTAATGAGAAAAATCAATCCAGGCCTTTTCTACAGCAGTCAGGTCTTTGAAACAGGCATAAATCATTTCAGATCAGTTTCGAAACAGCTCTGTGTGAAACCATGCCACTGAAGCCCACTGAAGAACACAGTTACACCACAAGCACTGAGCATTTCAACACATGCCCCACAGAGCACCACGGCAAGAACACAAGACAGAAGCAGAAGCAGAAGCACAGAGTCACCCACAGTGATGCTTACCCGTCCTCCTCTGCAAAACTACTATCCTCCACTTCAGATGAGTGACTGTTGGGTGAAGTAAAAACAGTTACAGACAAAGTACAGAACAGTAAGTGTCTGGTTTACTAAGAATTTCTGCCAGGACGACTGCATCTACATTTTACATTTTGGATTATGAATAGGATCAAATTTTAAGGACATATTATATACTCTATGTAAAAGAATGATGATTTATGACTTATCCTAGCAGAAATACCAGCAAAACCTGGCCTTTGTTGTTTGCGTGTTGATGCCCCAACATAGCAAAAGCAGGGGTTCAGGAAACGTAGGTAGGTAGTTTAGGGTGAAGCATTATGTGTATCTAACAGCACACTTATGTAAGTAAGGGAGCCACTACTCACAACATGGTTCTTTTTCAAGAGCAAAAAACTAACCACAAGTGGAAGCACATGTGATGTTTGACAATATATAGCATATATTAGCACTGCTGGACTAAAACAGCCAGTAAAATAGCAGCCTTCCACATCTAAAACCAGCTGAAATTAATAAAAATGCAGGCAGGAGGTAATGCATAGCATTTGTTACACTCTTACAAGACATCTTTCTGTAACGAGGAGACCAAACCCAGTTTTGATCAAAATAACATTCTCTGTTTTCAAACGTAAAAAGCTTAGTGTTCAGTTTTCATTGTCTATACCAGGAGTTCAGTATGTTTAACAGCATTGACTGAACCACAATCGTGACAGTTTCATCTAATGCTCTGAATTCAGTTCATGCAGGCCATGCTGATTAGCTGATGAGCTAAATCAGGTGTGTTCATTGAGGTAGTGTGCTGAAATCTACAGTGTTTTGGGCCGCCAGGACTGGAGCTTGACATATGTGGTTTAGATGGATCCTCGGGGGAGGAGTTTAAAGTGTTTATGCCATATACATACAATTAACCTATGTTTTGTCTTGAAATGGTCCATACTGTTTATTGACACATTGGCATTGACAGTGGAAACGAATAATTCTTGTTCGTTATCTTCAGTTTTGTTTCCTTGTCTTCAGTCTCAGTAAAAAAACTGTCAATGTTGTCAGTTCCTTCATTTTTGGCTCATCCTTATTATTATTATTATTATTATTATTATTATGATAGCCATTGAATAAAAGCCAACAGTAACCTATATGCATGCATTACATAAACTTTACATTACATAAAAGTTTCTGCAATTAAGATACTATTTCGGTACCAGTATGTGGCCCAATGCTTGACAATCTCTGGTCTAAAACATTAGTCTGTAAATATATTCTCCAGTTAGATTTGTATACTCATGTATGCTTTAAAAAATTATTTGGAATTGTACCAAAGTATGTGAAATTGTGGTGAAATCTAAGCTTTCATGAAGCACTGAATCATTTCCTAAAGAATCATAATCGAATCAGTGTGAGATGAGTCAGCCTTAGCTGCTGCATGTTATTTTTGCATCTTCAGTGGGGTCCACATGTGGCAGTGAGAGCATGGAGGGGGCTTGGGTAAGCGTAATGCGAGTGGACACTGGCCTGACCGAGTGTTTAAGAGACCAGACACGGGCCCTGTTGTGTCTTATTTAGGTGAGGGGGAAGAGATGCAGCTTTGATGTTATGAGACATGAAAGACTCAGCCAGTAGGGGAAGAACAGGACGGCACAAGGAAACACACCGAGGCGCAATCACTTTTTTTCTGCGTCACAGTTTTTGATGTCCCGTTCGCTCATGTAACATGGGTGTTTGTTCAGAATGTGGCAATAAATCAGCTCCACTCAATTTCAGGACAGTGGAAGAGGAAAAAGAGAACATGACGGGGACTAAGCACCAATATTTGTATGTGTGTGACACTTACCTACTGCGCTGTAATTGTATATTTTAAACCTTGATCATATTTCGATACACAATAATAACAATAATAATAATAATAGTAATAATAATAATTATAATTATAATAATATTATTATTATTTTTACAATTATTATAAAATATTTGTGACATTCATGTTCTTTTAACCACCTGCCTGAAGCAGAGTGTTATTTACTGTGCTAGAAAAGGTAGACTAGTTATACAGTGTTTATTTCAGGGGGGAAACACCACATTTAACCCAATATAGGACAGAACATAACCTACAGGCATTTCAGACTCAGACACCTTTTAAACCTACCAAACAAAACAGCGTTTCAGCCTTTGCTATTCTAATATAGTGGACAAGGCCTTTTACACAACACAAGCTCAACATCAATCATTTTCAGTTCCCAGTGACAGTGACAAGTGGTGGTTCAAAAAATTTATCTAATAAAATTGTGATTGACCAAGACCAAAATCTGCTTCATAACAAGTAAGGAAAGCTTATATCTCAGCAGTGAGCTCTATGCAAACTGCAAACATAAACCATCACACACTTCACTTAAACTGTGTCAAGTTGTAATGTAATCTCAAACAGACTGAGTGATGTACTGTAAGCTATAAAAATGAAAAAAGCATACTGAATAGCATACAACAGTGACAACAGCCATCTTAACAGCCTACAGTGTTTTTGTGCTTTTAAAAAATAACCGTTTTGTTTTACGGTTGTTTTAGTATATTTTATTATATATCTTTACTTCTTCTATGCATGTATATGTATAATAGCGCACGGCAATACTTTTGCCCTTTACTGTACGTTGTGCTGCTGTAATTGATGACTTTCCCTCTGGGATAAACATCCATCCATCCATCCATCCATCCATCCATTTATCTGTCTTTCCATCCATTCATCCATCCATCCATTTATCTGTCTTTCTAGCCATCCATCCATCCATCCATTTATCTGTCTTTCCAGCCATCCATCCATCCATCCATCCATTTATCTGTCTTTCCTTCCATCCATTTATCTGTCTTTCCATCCATCCATCTATCCATCCATTTATCTGTCTTTCCATCCATCCATCCATCAGTCTTTCCATCCATCCATCCATCCATCCATCTATCCATGTTTTTCCAGCCATCCATCTACCAATCCATTTATCTGTCTTTCCATCCATCCATTTATCTGTCTTTCCAGCCATCCATCCATCCATTTATCTGTCTATCCTTCCATCCATCCATTCATCCATTTATCTGTCTTTCCATCCATCCACCCATTTATGTCTTTCCATCCATCCATCCATTTATCTGTCTTTCCATCCATCCATCCATCCATCAATCCATTTATCTGTCTTTCCTTCCATCCATCCATTTATCTGTCTTTCCATCTATCCATCCATCCATCCACCCATTCATTTATCTGTCTTTCCTTCCATCCATCCATCAATTTATCTGTCTTTCCAGCCATCCATCCACCAATCCATTTATCTGTCTTTCCAGCCATCATCCATCCTTTTATCTGTCTATCCTTCCATCCATCCATTCATCCATTTATCTGTCTTTCCATCCATCCATTCATGTCTTTCCATCCATCCATCCATTTATCTGTCTATCCTTCCATCCATCCATCCATCTATCCATCCATCAGTATGTCACTGTCAGAAACCACACAAGCAAGTCTATTTGGTTAGTTTACCAGCACTAATACCATATATGTAGTAATTAATTGACTACGTCTGGGTTAAGAGGAAAACTGTGTTTGATTTCTTGAACCATCATTTTAATTTACGGCAGACATTTTAGAATGTGCATAAAAAAAATAAACAAATAACTTTTTTAAACAATACAGAGACCACAGAATGGACAAAAACACTCGCCCACATAGGTAAGTAAAACAAACGACAATACACTAATACTGTATCACCGGACCTCAGAAAGACTCATGAGTTCGCGGAATATAGCGTAGCAGCTTCCCTTTAATGTGGAAAAACTCCAGTCTAGTCTGAGCAATGCTGAAGCAGGGGATGTGTGGGTGCAGCTGCATATTCTCACACAACACAGCACAAACAAGGAACAAAAGCACCATAAACAACACTGAAGATGTCGCCATGGGAGAAATCTCTCTCTCTCTCTCTCTATAATTGGCACACAGTCACATAAGGTCGTGCTTGGGTGGATAAAGTGGGGCGCACTACACAGATGAGGCAGTGTTACTGGCTAATGTGCCAGGCCACACATCCTCATGTGTTTCTAATTAGTCTAAATCAAACATTCAGTGCACAGGAGGCCACGCTGCCACTCACAGATACAGAAAAAGAGATATCTGGTTTTGGGCAAAGAGAGAAAAGTTCACCTCTAAAAAGCTCAACACCCATTCAATAGTTGAGCTGAGAAAATTACTGAATTACTATAATTACTTGACAATATCTTGCTGCTGTAAAAAATGTATTAATCCAACCTAACTCCTTAAACTATAATATATTCAGTTATTCATTTTAAGACCTACTTAGTAACTATGAGATCCCCACAATCAGACCCTTAGGGTTTAAGATAAAAAACTTTTTATTTTAGATGTCCATTACAATGCCTTTATAATGTCTTAGTAATTCATATCAAGCCAACAGCTGGTGATTAATTGTCAGCCCTTTACTACTCTGAGGACTTCCACTGAGTTTTCATAATTTCTGCATAATTCTTTGAGATATAAACCAGGGCACTCAGAGCAGCTTGGTGTGAAATGCTGCATTACAGAGAAACTTGCCTTTTTTTTTTTATACAGTGGTGGTGATACGAACCAGGTGTCCCACTGTCAACAACACATAGATTTATTATTATTTACTGTACAGAACTACCAGTGAACCTACATGCTGCATTCTTATAATTGTTACTGACAATGACAAAATGATGGCAAATCTAAAAAAATCCCTTACAACACCCTGCATACACCTCTCTACCACTGGCTGATTAAAAAAATGCATTTTAGGCCAAAACCTTCTCTTGAAATTCTTCTCTTAATAAATAAAAGTGATCTTAATAAGCAGCTATTTGCTCAACGGATCCCTTAAATGGCCATGGCCCACTGGCAGGCCCAAAAGTTTTCTACACACTTCTATAACCTAACAATAGCTCACTCAGTTTACATCGAGGTCCCTGTAGTCACTAGATAGTAAACCTTGACATGTATAAGCCTGGAATTTTAAGGGGTTAATCAT